CGTACGACGAAAATCGGATGCAATATGAATCCAGCATTTGGCTGCGTTCCGTTTCACGCATGATGCATCTTTTATCCTTGTTATTCCGAATGTTAAATAAGGATAAATAATGCATTAAATTATGTGAGAAACGGAACTCACCCTATATCGGAACACACCCTATATAGCCGAATTAACCTCCAAGTTCAAAGATGGAAGATAAAATTAAAAAGAGGAAATAAATTTCAGGTTTATTATAAATTAAATAAAATGTTTTTAGATTAGGATATTTAACTGCTTAAAATAAAACGAGATGTACCAGTAGAAATCGTTTTTCAGTTTTTATTAATGAAAAAATTAACATTAATCTTGGTTTAACTTACTTATTTTTTTTCTAGTTTTAAAAATTAGAAAAAAGATAGAGTAAATTTAAACCAAGATTAAAGTTAATATACATTGGTAAAAATAGATATTGGTAAACTACATATATGCAGCATTTTTTATAATTAAAAATTCAATTTTTCAAATTCTAAAATTTTATTCACCATTTAACCAGCTTTCTTTTATTTACCAAAACTCAAATAACTTCCTGTAAATGTTCATAACTTCTTCTATCATATAAGCAGATTAATTACTACATTGTTAAAAGGATGATAAGAGTAAATGTAATAACAAACCAACAAAATATCATTTTTAATGCTATTTCTTATGATAATTTCTTACAATGACTTCATTACGATTAAACGTCATTCTATTATCACATTTCATAAAGATCAGTTGTAACTTATAATCTGATCTTCTTCGTCACATCTTTCAGTCTTTGTTCAATACAAGCTATTGTATTAAATAATAATAAATGTAAGTTACTGTCGTCAGCTCATCAACATATTTAACCAATCTTCATTTAAGTCTATAGGTAAATTGCTTTCATTGTTAAGAATATGTTCCAGTAGTGTGTCTATATTGCTGTTCGAAGTATTTTCTATAGACTGATTTGTTGTATCTAAGTTAATTGTAGTATCTAGGTCGACTAACGTGTTCATAGCTTTCGATAGTGTCTCTGTGCCAACATCTGTTCCTACTTCATTCACTGTTGCATCCAACTGCAGTTTACGGTTTTCATTCTGTTCGTTTGCGGTTTTGTACTGCTGATTTAAACCTATATACTTATCATTAGATATATTGAGATTCTTGAAAGTATCCATTACGTTTGTATTCATGAACGAATAATCATGTTCCTGTAGTTTTCTATCATCACAATGCTCATCAATATTAGAAAAAATCTTAAGATTAATATTAGTCTTTTCAATGTTGACAATCTTGGGCAGTGTCCTAACACCTACAATCTGTTTATTCATAATGTTTCTGCTTTCTTTAGAGTTAGTGTCTGCTAATTCAAGTGGCTCAAATAGTAATGATTTATTAGTATCGGTAGATTCCTTTGGTGAGGTAATGAATTTACATTTAGGCACTGTTTCAATTTTATCTTCCATTGTAGGATATGATGAATATTCAGCACTTGTTATCTCTGTCAATTCTTTGGAAAGTTCACTTCCGGGAGTTACAGGTGGTGTATAAAGCGTAAATTCTAGTAGCACAGGTTTGTCCTCTTTAGCGAAAGTTGGTTCTTCCCAGTTGCAGGAGGAAGCTGCTCTAGGGAAGAATGTTAATTCCTCGTAACTGATCGGCCAGCTGCACTAAAAATAGAATTGTGAGCATAGATGTAAAGCCTGCATAATCTACAGTTAGGCTTTTTGCTTCCTGTTTCTTGCTTTTTACCTCTTTTCCTGTTTCTTCGCTTTTTGTCGTCTGATATAAAATTTGATGAACATCGGAAGAAAGACAAGAAACATGATAAAATGGTCATAAAGAGGGAAAAAGTAAGAGATAAAAAGCAAGAAACAGGAACAGCACATTGTAGGTTAGTGATATTTTCCAGCAAGAGACACGGTATAACACAATGATCATTTCATCTTTGCTCAACTTATGTCATCTGTGTCTCTTACTGGAAAACAGTCTAGGTTTTAAGGAAATAAATAGAAAAGAAACAAGAAGATTGTTTACTTCTTCCGCCTCGCAGGACCACACCGCTTCTTCCAGATTAATCTGAAATGCCTTGAGTCTTCTCTTAATACCATTCTTTTCACACGCCGGACAGAGTTTCTCCATTCTATAATATGATATCATAACAATTAATTTATTTCAAAATAAAGCGAGCACTCGGAGCGCGTAATATTCATGCAACTTCGCGCACAAAAACTCCGCGATTATTAACAAGACAAACGTATGTTCTGTGGCTAATTATGAGTGATTAAAGTAAAATACCTCGGATAATTAAGCGTTACGACGCTTAATTATTTGCAGTTCTCATCAACACATGTCTTTCAAACACTGAACGTGAATAACCTACGAACTGTCGGCATGTCTATTGAAGAAAACAATACAAGATAAAAATTAAAATCACTTCAGCGAAGAATGAAACCTGACTCGAGAGATAATTCGAGTCGTCGGTAATGTAGTTCGAGACCTTTTGAAGTTTACGAGTTTATCATACTGCGATAAATTAAAATTTTCAAAAACAAAAGAAAAAAAATTGATAGTTCCAAATACTCGAATATTACATTTTTAAATAATCACATGTATTTGTTAAATATTTTATGGGGCATTGGGACCCTCATTTTTAATTCCCAAACAGAAAAAGAAAGTTAATTTATGATGTCATTATATTATATTGACTGATTCAATACGATTCATAAATAATTACGCTCGACCCAATCTTTATTTTCGTTAGAATATCTATTAAATTCCATGAATAATTATTCGAATGCCAGGTTTTTTAAAGCACATTACAAAAAATAGTAATTTCGACTTTTTGCCATTTTGAAAGTTATAAACTTGTTAAAAAAAGTTTGAAAGTTTCATTATTATGTACAATCGTGTTATTCTCTTAATATTATGTATAGGGTGTGCCTCCTGTAATAAAAAAGTATTATTGCGATCGAAATAAAATTAAAATTCAGCAGAAATTATATTAACAATTAAATACTAAAGCAATCGCAACATACTTGAACTTGCGAATCTGATCTGCTGTCAGAAAAAATTTTATATCGTTTTTCTTATTTATTTTTTTACTGTAAACGTTTTGCTATGTCGTGAATTACATTCCTTCATTTCGTATGTAGGACTTCATACATACTATAAAAAGACGATACCTCGTGAAAAAATTGTAACTTTATTTGTCTATTTAATTTACTTTTGTGATAAGATAAGATTAGTTTAAAATACGCAAAAATTATATTTAAAAATTTAATATATATATATAGGGCTGGGCACTTTTATTTGAAAAATAATATTCGTAAGACAAATAGATTTTGTATTTTGTATTTGTTCAGAGTACATGAAAATATTTTGTATTTTGTATTTCATGGGAGCATATAAAAGTGTTTTGTATTTTGTATTTCGATATTAATAACAAAAGATTGAAAGTATTTTGTATTTTGTACTTGTATTTCAAATACTAACATTGACAATCAACCTTGTTATTTCAATTACAAAGTACAAAAATCTTTCGACCTTTCGATTTTAAATACAAAAATACGTAATACTTTTATATAATCCACTAAAATAAAAAATACGCTTGTATTAGAGTGTTTTAAATAAAAGTATTTCAAATACCCAGCCCTTTATATAAATATGACACAGTTGTGTGCATTTGCGTGACAGCAACCTTTTAAAAGTGTTCCTGGACTTGTTGACCCCCGGAATACTGATGAAAGTGACTTTCTTCAAACTTTCTCGCTTCTAACAGCATCTTACATTTCATACACCGAGAACAGTTTTCAGTTTTCTATCGTCTGTCGTGGGATTCAGATGTATTGTGTCTCCCGATAATCCAACGATAGTTATACAAAAATAATAAATTAAAAACAATCGTTATATTACAAATTATTACGTAACTATTAACCGCGATCAAATAAATACAGAAAAAGTTTTCAGAAAAATGGGAATCTTTGAACGACGGATTCTGGAGATTTCGAATTCTCCGAAAGGAGTGAGATATAATAAAATTAATGCATATAGAAGAAAATATCCATGGAGTGTAATATTGATGAAAACGTTGATAGAAAAATATATTTCCCATCATAGGCGCAGGCGATAGCGACCAACGTGTTGTCTCAAGCGCATCATGTGTCCAGAACGAAACGGGGACAAGCGATCGGCTCCGTTCGAGGATTTCGTGGGTGCACAATTTGGATGACGGGACTTTCTGGTGCCGGAAAGACTTCCATCTCTTTTCAACTTGAGGAATATCTCGTTTCTCAGGTACGCCTTACAGCGTAATTGCTATTCCCATACAGCACAGAATTTGCAGCAATATCGCTACAAAATCTCTGCAATATTGCTGCAATGTTGCAGCAACTTTTGTGCAACTTTGTGCTGTAGGGATTATAATTTGTTGCTCCACTTTCACGGTATTTTATTCGATATTATTTCTGGAGCAGGGAATTCCCGCGTACAGTTTGGATGGTGACAACTTGCGCACTGGTTTGAATCGTAATCTCGGCTTCAACAAAGAGGATCGCGAGGAGAATGTGCGTCGCGTTGCTGAGGTCGCGAAGCTCTTCGCAGATGCCGGCATCATTGCCCTCTGCAGCTTCGTCTCGCCTTTCGCAGCGGACCGAAAAATGGCACGCGATATTCACGAGAACGCCAATCTGTCCTTCTTCGAGATATTCATCGACGCATCTCTCCAGGTCTGCGAGGCCCGTGACGTCAAAGGTCTCTATAAGAAAGCACGTCAGGGTATCATTAAGGGTTTCACCGGTATCGATCAAAGTTATGATGTACCTACCGAACCCGATCTCATCGTCGACACGGAGAACACGACCGTTCGACAATCCACCGATATCGTCATCAACTTTCTCCAAAGCAAACAAATTATACCAAAGATATGCGAACTTAAGCAACCCTTTCTAGAATTATTCGTGAAAGAGGATAGATTGGATGATATCTGGATGGAAATGGAGGCTCTTCCATTTGTGGAAATCGGAAAATTAGATGTGCAATGGTTACAAGTTCTCGCTGAAGGATGGGCGGCGCCTTTAAAAGGATTTATGAGGGAAAACGAGTACCTTCAAGTAAGTTTAAGTTTAATCCATGTATCAAACGCAAAAGCATCCCTACTGAAAAAAATCACGTCACAAAGTTACATAACGAAATCATGTAATTAAAATATAAGTAAATCACATAACAGATTGTTCCAAATCAGTACGTGAATTTTTTAAATAACGTAATTTGAAAAAATCTCATGATATTAGAAATATTTTCATCTATCATTCCATTGAGTTTAACGCGACAGACATAATGCTGTCTCACCTTGTCCTGAGTTTATCGAAATTGGTTGCTGCAACATGTCAGCAAATACACTGCATTTGGCTATCTGGGTTGTGACGTGATTTTTTTTCAGTAGGGATTGTTGTTTTTAATAGGTGCAGCATTTTAACTGTTTGTACGAAAACGACGTTTCGATCAACCAATCAATTCCTATCGTTCTTGCCGTGAGCACCTCCGACAAAGAGCGCTGTTTCGATGCGACCGCACTCGTACTTAGATATCAGGACAAGGATCTTGCCGTCTTACGCAATCCGGAATTTTATCTCCACCGCAAGGAAGAACGTTGCTGCCGTCAATTCGGCACAAATGATCCTAGACATCCTTATGTCAGATTAATCCAAGACTCTGGCGACTGGTTGGTCGGCGGGGATTTGGAAGTGCTCGAAAGAATTAGATGGAATGATGGGCTGGATCACTACAGGCTGACGCCTAACGAGATCAGGACTAAGTGTCGGGAGATTGGCGCCGATGCGGTTTTTGCTTTTCAACTGCGAAATCCGATACACAATGGACACGCGTTGCTTATGCAGGTTGATACTTACTTCACAAAATAACAAAATTTTTGCAAACGGTAATACGCGTTCGTTATTTCTATTAAATCTCGTTTATATCTCAGGATACTAGGCGACGTCTCGAAGAATATGGCTTCAAGAAACCAGTTCTTCTCCTTCATCCTTTAGGCGGATGGACTAAAGACGACGACGTTCCTCTACCGGTCAGGATACGGCAACACCAGGCTGTCCTCGAGGAAAATGTCTTGCACAAGGATACTATTCTCGCTATCTTCCCTAGCCCTATGTGTTATGCCGGTCCTACAGAGGTCAGTATATTTCTTTCTAATGTTTTGAACAATAATGTGCAATATCTGAAATATGTAAAGACCGTTAATGGTCAATTTAAAAAAACATTCAGCCACTTATCATGATTTACATTTTTTTAGGTGCAATGGCATGCCAAAGCTCGTATGATCGCAGGAGCAAATTTCTACATTGTCGGACGAGATCCCGCTGGCATTCCTCACCCTGATAAATCCGCCACATCAGACGGCAATCTTTATGATGTCACTCATGGTGCACGCATCCTTTCGATGGCGCCAGGTTTGCAAAATCTCGAAATTATCCCTTTTAGGGTAGCTGCTTATGACATCAAAGCGAAAAAAATGTCTTTCTTCGAAGCTGAACGGCAGCAAGACTTCATTTTTATTTCCGGTACCAAAATACGCAGTAAGTTTCTATTCCATTATAATTTTTTTTTATTTGTTTAGTTTGAAGAATTTTATATTATTTTCATTTGTTATACACGCATGTATATTTCCACTTTATAAAGATATTTTTATTTTCTACGTTTCTTTTTACATTAGATTTGGCAAAAAATGGTGAAGATCCTCCCGAAGGTTTTATGGCATCGAAAGCATGGAGAATTATCGCAAAATATTACCAAACTGTACATAGTTAAGAAGCGAATCAATAAATAATATTTATGTATAATATAACTTATATAACTGATGTTGATATTGTATAAAATTGAATTAATATAATGGGCAGATAATAAAATAAAAAATATAGGTAAACTATTGAATGCAAAAATAATGGAACAAACCGTACATTTTGTTCTAGTCTATTACCTCTGGTATATCTTTATTTATTGCATCGAATGACACGGAAGGACATTTTGTAACTTAAATATACTCGACAATCAACCGAAGGTTGTCGATAGAAAATATTTTGCCATTTAATCCGGTATATCTGCAACGATAAATATCTCACTATATATAACTTAACTTTATCGCCTTGTCATAAAAAATATAAGTGTTTGCTTAAGCAAACTATTAGATAATAAAAGATATCGTATTATGTGTTTTACCTTCTTCCTCTTCAGAGTCGGATATTCGGGTAGCTTGAAGCGAACTTTGTTTCGTTAATGTCCGGACTAGGCCACGTGGTCTTGGCGGCGGTGACTGTTTGTTCCAAAGTGCCTCTAGTTGATCAAAATGTTGAGATTGTGCTAAAGCGGCCTGTT